CTCTGGTAACTGCTAAAAGTGTTACCGAACATGTTTCGGGGATATTCTTGGAGATGTGAGTACCCGGATTTTTGACAGGCCTTGTGTAAACTTGGACTCAACAGTGTGATCCTTAGGATCATTACCCATATAAGAATGTGCGTCTTACGGATTCTCTGCAAATGGGCTATTCGTCGTGTAGATGCCGCCACATGGCCATGTTAGAGTTGTGCGATATGTTGCTTCTAAACGATCTTGCTGAGCGTTTACTCGGCTCACAACGGAGATATTGCCTGCAGGTCACTTTCGCCTTGAACTCTTAAGGTAGTGCAATGAGCATTCTTTTTTGCTCCTCTCCATTATGTTTTGAATGTCTGTGTTTCGTGCTTCCCTTTTTGTGAATAGTGGCAGCCCGTTGCAGGGTCTGCTTTCGATGGAGGTAAACCTTGTGGGGAAACGACCTGCTTCCAGTTTGCGTGATGCGCGTTAATCAGCGTGTGGGTTTTGTGGTGGACGCATTGAGGTGACTGTGGAAGAAACAGTTGCCGGAGGCATTTTTGCCACCTGAACCTCACGTGCTCATCGAGTTTGTTCTACGTTTTTAAACCACACATTCATCGAACAGCATATTGCCCGATAGCCGATACCTTTAAATGGAGAGTTTCGATGGACACATCCCATCGGCAAGGGACAGCCGCCAGTTTGGGTTCACATGCACGGGAGGAAGACTCTGTTTCTCGATGGCACTACTCGAGGGCAGGGCTCCACGATCGCAGTAGAGTTGGAAATACTACGCTTTACTCTCAGCATACGAGGCTTATGCAGCACGTGAATCACAGAGACAACTGTCAGCCCAAAGATGTCATCAGCTGTGCGAAAATGAATCCGGAAAATGACACTAATGCATTGTAGCCCTCCACAGAGGTCCACACGACCGTTTCTATCTAGTAGAGCCCCACTGAATACTAAGCATGGATGGACCTGCATGGGGACGTTTCTTTGCCGGTGTGCGATTACGTTCTTCCTTCTGATTCAGGCAACAAGTAATCACCTTCCTCTGTTTGCGTTTATTGGATGGATGCGCTGTTCTCAATTGGAGGTCCTCTTTTCGTTTTTGACTTGGCGGTCTGTTGTGCATTGCATCATGAATGGTACAGAGTTGTCGTCGCTTTACGTATACAGAGTCAACTGTCGCGTGCTTGTCCACCGGGATGCCAAAGGTACAGCGCTTCAAACATATTTGAAAATCGAGTTGGTGAGTCTTGTGCAAATGTTTTTGGATTCCTTCTTCAAGAATGAAAATGCTCCTAAGATTTGGGTTGCATGCTTGACTCGTTTGGTGGACGGAGGAACCGTGTAAACATCACTAAGGGCCTACTCACTGCAGCCAGAAACGGTCCTGTATATTCCTTTCGTATACATTCCAGACGGCCCGCCTGCAAAATTTACAGAATGTAAGTTGCATGATGCAACTACGTAGGATGCCCGTAGACAGACCCGCTGGTATTCACAGTTGACGTGCGGTTACACTCCAAGCAGCGCATGTCCGGTTATACTTAACATTTGTAAATTAAAGAGCGTGCCTACGCCTGCGTGCAAAATAACTTCACTTGTGCGCTAATCAATGGTGTGGCATTAGTGGTGCTCGAATGCCCCATAGAGCATCATAGGGTGTATGAATGATGTATCGACGTCTTAATATTTCTTACGGGAATGCAGACTGTGAGCAGTGATCGCCAGGCATCATACGTAAAGGGAGGTCGGCCGATGAAATCTGCGATCGGCACTACTAGGTGATGCTCTAGAGACGGCTATACTACACGAGTGGTTTTGAGCTTTAGGAACCGTATTTTCCTTTCCAGCGCTCCGACCAGTACCACGTCAAGCTATTTTCGTCCAGTCGTCAAACGGAAATCAGATAGGTTTGAGATAATTCTTATGCACAATCCTAAACTGTCAACCTGTGGAGAACGTCGAATTAAAATGAGGCGAGCAAGGAATGTTTTGTGGGAGCATAACACTCTAGGTTCGCGGTGTAGGATATCAACACGTCCAGTTGGTGAGCCGAAGATTAGCCAGGATATCATCTGGCCCGTTGCCATACTGTGGCCTGCCCTTACATATGCAAAGTGTTGACCAGGACCCCCCGTTTCTGTTCACGAGATCGCGTTTGTTTCGCGAATGATATATTGCACGCCGAACTGCTATTCAGTGTCCTGGATTATTTCTCGTAGTGTCACGAAAAGAATTGTCTACGGTAAGCCTGTACACGTCGATGCCATGCTGCGCGCTACTACAAACTGGAGGTATTTGCGTGCGAGTATTCCAGCGCATGGCATACAAACAAACTCGGCATCGATTCCTACAATTGTGTGGGCACTATGGCGTGGCACAAAACTTGCGTTCTTGGAAGTCTTCTGAATCCATCGTATGTGGGAAACGTCTCCCACATTCTGCATTTACTGTTCAGTAGCGCCCTTAGGAGGGTTTGGTTCCCGTCGGTCAAGGACGTGCATTAGGCATATTTCAAAAACAAGCTTGCATTCCATATTGGCCAACAACTGCTATATCAGAACATTTGGTTGTTTCCAACATCACAAATACATAACCAGGATGTACGCCACGCTTCCGGTAGATTCCACATTTGGAGTCACGACCTAGAAGGTGTACACCCCCTTTGGCATGCTACCACCAAGTGAAAGCTCTTGACTATACCACGCCGTGCACGTACATGTACTGCTTCCTTGTTTGGGTTCCCCTCGTTATGGGTTCGTGAGGTATGTGCGTGCCGTTAGGTACGGTTTTGCTCCGTCTACCAAATAGAATTGTAACTGCTGCATATCCGAGGATTCCGTTTGGTGCCTTGACCCAAACAGCAGTAACAGCACTACGTACTGTAGATATGTACAATAGAAGAATTTTTTAGAAGCCCCCGTCGTGTGTTGCCCCATTTCTACATGCAGTACTCAATAGCCAGAAGGATAGCATCAGCATTCCTACCGTGTCAGTGAGCATTCCAGCACACCATATTGCGGCATGCGTAACATGTTATACGCTTTCAATAACATTCGGAATTTCAGGCCGTTCTACAGCCCCAGCGGCGCATTTGGCTGGTTTGCGCAGCTATGCTGGAGGAAGGTTCTGAGGTATTGGAACGCTCACTACAGACTAGATCATTAGCCTGTTAATGCAGACCCCACGGTGAATGTGCTTATTCTTTCTCGTTGGCGAGGTGGTCATTATTCATGGGCAAAGACCTAGATGAGCCAGACAGGCGGTGTTGTGGGGTTTTATCCTTATTTTATATCGTCTTAAGTAGGCATCGGGCCATGCGTGGTGGTTGGCTTGATGATTCAGTTGTTCTCCGCCGTTGTGGAGTTGAGTTTATGTGTGAAATATCCAAATTGTGTTGCATACATCATGTAATATTCTGCGATTGAACTAGCCCAAACATCAACAAACACCCGCGGTGGTTTAAACGGCTGCTGTAGAGAGTATTGGCTTCATGTCTTGAAGCTGGAAATACAGGGGGGAAGGAAGCTATACCACGGTAGTGTGCTTGTAAACTCAAGAAGGGCCCGTCCCGGACATCCGCTCAATTTGCAGGGGGTACGTGGGGTGAGATTTAAACCCCGTCAGTTGTCCTTAGACACAACTACTGGTCGTCGGTACATTTTCCATCCACTAACCGTACTACACTGTATCTATGTCAAAGTAAATAAAGGCTGACCAACTAAACTGCTGTGTTGACAATCCCAGAGATGCCTGTAGTTATTGTATCTAATACTAGGAATATTATAATATTTTGTGTGCCGGTCGCGACTGCACGCAAGCCATTCCGGCTGATTTGTTTTATTTGTTTTCTGCCATATCTACCACCTCATTGGAGCAATGGGAGAAATCGAAGGGTTGGTTTGTAGGTGCATTGCTTCATTGTTCTTTCAGAATGTACGATTTTTCACCAGACCAACGGCCTGAGTATATTGTACGCGGTCTGCTTGCTTTCGTTTGCCTTACGCTGGTGGCGTTTGAAGTAGTTTGTGGACATCCGGCCTGGAAAAGGTAGAGCAGGGGAAAGCCCCTTAGATTTATGTGGGCAGTCAAGGCATTCCTTTCGCAACGTTCTTCTGCATTTGCGCAGTGCATACTAAAGTATATTCTTATTTTCCCCCCACTCCTTGCAGAACACGAGCTGTTCATTATCGGCGTAGAGACTCCACAATACAGCTGGTGAGTAGCACTCGCAGGCAGGAGTGTTTTTGATGTTGATCGTCTCCCTAAAGCAGTTTGTTTGTAGCAGTGAGAACAGTCGAAGTATTGCATAGTAGGTACATTGCTTCATTGTTCTTTCAGAATGTACGATTTTTCACCAGACCAACGGCCTGAGTATATTGCACGCGGTATGCTTGCTTTCGTTTGCCTTACGCTGGTGGCGTTTGAAGTACTTTGTGGACATACGGCCTGGAAAAGGCAGAGCATGGTTACTATTCATCTTTTGCTTTCTGTGGCTGCACACGAAACGACAATGAAATCTCCAGGAAGTGCGCTGCGTAATGAAGGCGGCAATGTTTTGCCGTTCGGTGATGCCACTATGGGGTATTCCAGTCAGGGTGCCCCCTAGCGAATGGGCCTCTGGATGGGAGCAGCATATACTACCGAATTTAGCTACTTTTGCCCCTGTCCTCGGGACGAAAAAGAGTTGTTCATGTTTTGTATGGAGACCCCACAATGCAGTTGGTGAGTAGCTCTTCTACCAAGGCGGGTTTGCCAAGTTTACGGTCTCCTGTGTTTCTTGTGAGGCGCCAGAGAATTGCCCTTCAAGATCGAAACATGACGTCGTGCCGCTAGGCATTAGAAACCTTTCCTGCTAACGTCGACAATGCGTGCACATTTTCGCCACTAACTGCTTATACCCATCGTGGCAAACGCCCTATAATTCCAAAAGAGTATTGACGCACAGAAAGTGAGTTGGCGCTTGCAGGCAGATCCGCAAAAGTAATGATTCGCGGCAGTCCGTGTTATTTTGGGTAGTAAGTGCGTCGCTTTAAAAATGTTCAGCAAGTGCGTCTCGCTGCGCCTTTGGCTGTCACTGAACTGCTACTAGTCCATCGACGGCAGTTGCCGTCCATCGTTTTTGTGTATGAAAAGCGTGATTGCGTTTCGTGTGAAGGATTTGTTGGTCGGTTCTGCGTGTAGAAATATATATTTGTCGGTGGTGACATGCGATTTAAACAGAGCAACGAATAATGTGCACGCTTTGTTAAACGTAGCGTGAGCTGCAGTGTCGACGGTTACTATTCCTACAGTTACCAACCCAAATTCTGCGGGAGGTTTAGGTTGTGCAATTTGACAGGGTGTCTAGATACACTCAGAACGCCGGTGCTCGTGCGACGGAGGAATAACCAGAGCAAGTTATCTTCCGTATCTTTTTTATGGGGTCAGAATGTGAGTAAATCCACTGATGTAACACTGCATCTTGAGAAAGGGAGCAAACGCATTCCACCTCAACTGCTTCTGGCTGGATAAGAAACACGACACCCAGGTTGCCGTTCCAATGCGCGATAAGCTGGTGAGCCAAGCGGAACCCAAACAGCGAGCAAAAGGCAAGACGGCAGGTATGGGACAGGCAGCCAGCGGCACAGGACCTTCTTGCTTGCGATGGGAGCACTGTCAGTTGCTAAGATCAATTGAAATTCGTATACGCTGTGAATTCATTGTCTTTGATCCCATCGCCGTCACACCAGCAAAAGCTGAACGGCCAGGAAAGAATGGCACGACGGTATCTGGGCAGGTTTATCCCGCTAAAAATTGTCTGTGCTGTGTATCCGGCGCTTGTACCAAATGACTTATGTTTGGCTCGCTGCCCTACCATTTGAGTCCTGCTCCGTGCTAGGAACATGGCGAACCAGGCGAATGCTTTGCTCGCGACTGGGGAAGGAACTGAAGGCGAGTTCTGTGTAGTGTGTTCTATCGACTTGACACGCTACCAAACGGCATCGAAAAACCTAGCTCGTGAGCTTTCTGTGGATTTGGTTTCTACTACAATTAAACGCCTGAATCTCTCGACTGGCCACTGCAGGTGCGCATCTCTGGTAACTGCTAAAAGTGTTACCGAACATGTTTCGGGGATATTCTTGGAGATGTGAGTACCCGGATTTTTGACAGGCCTTGTGTAAACTTGGACTCAACAGTGTGATCCTTAGGATCATTACCCATATAAGAATGTGCGTCTTACGGATTCTCTGCAAATGGGCTATTCGTCGTGAAGATGCCGCCACATGGCCATGTTAGAGTTGTGCGATATGTTGCTTCTAAACGATCTTGCTGAGCGTTTACTCGGCTCACAACGGAGATATTGCCTGCAGGTCACTTTCGCCTTGAACTCTTAAGGTAGTGCAATGAGCATTCTTTTTTGCTCCTCTCCATTATGTTTTGAATGTCTGTGTTCTTCTTTAGAAGTGCATTCGTCCAGAATGCTGCAGTGTCGACTGATTCTGACTTTGCTCGACTTCCCTAAGTTAATCTTTCCGTCTATTTGCCGAAAGCACAAGCGGTTGGCAGAACATTCTAGTGTACAAAGTGAGCCAGCTTATATGCAAAGTCGGCGTGGACGAAAGTGATCGCGGGGCTTTCCTCAAAGCAGCTTCGGGCTTATCGCCTTCACTCAACATATACAACATATACAAGTTTGTATGTTCCGAACACGCGTTCTGGAAGCTGCTGTTGCATTTTCAGTAGAGCAGTTGGGGACCGAAGCACTGGCGGCCGTCAAATACGTACGAAATCTCCAGACTTGCGTGAGACTGGAAGAAGAGTGTATGCGTGTCTTCTGGGATCACCAGACAGTACGCGCGGAACGCAGAGAACACAATATATATATATATATATATATATATA